GGCCCCAGAGCACAGTAGAGGGGCAGGATCACCTCCTTCATCCTGCTGCTCCTGCTCTGCGGATGCAGCCCAGGATACGGTTGGTTTCTGGGCTGCGGAAACCTTTGGAGGTCTGAAGCTTTCTGTGCTGCACCCACATGGGTTTGCCCTTGGGGACACCCCTCAAGGATGCTCCCAGCAGGCTCAGGGCTGCCGGCACATTGGTGCTGGTGGCCAGGGCTGGGTTTTTCTCAAGCGTGACTCAGGCTGTCTCTGCTGCTGATTCACTCCAGCCGAGGACCTGGGCTGTGTCTCGGTGCCGCTGCCTGCAGAACGTAGCCTGCCGGGTGGCTTCAACAGCACAAAGTCACATCCTGCTTGGGTGTGTGAGCAGCTGTAGTGCTGTAGTGGGATCTGCTCCTGGGAAGCCAAGCCTGCCGTGCTTTTGTGCTGGAGGAAGGTAGAAGTAGAGCTTTTCTTCTCAGAGGCTTATCCTCGAGGGCTTTTGGAAGCAGATGGGTAATGGACTCATCATGAGCTCATCCTGTCAGGGAGGGCTGAGCAGGATTGATGGGGGCACGACAAAGTGGTTTCTTTCTGACACAGCCTGAGGTTTCCATCGTGTGTTGCTGGCCCCTCCTCACTCCCACCCAAGGCAAAGCAGGGACAAGGTGGATGGACATCTCCATCCAGTCCAACTGGTCTCACTGGTCGGGCAGAGGGGAGAAGTGGGAGCATCTGGGTGACACCAGGTCGAGGCATCAGCAGGATGCTGATCTCTGCCTGTCCTCTCGTCCTTGTCCTGACCTCTCAGTGCTGGGAACACTGGTGGGCACATCATCTACCACTGACTCTTAGGGTGCAGGGAGGGGACAAAGGAACGTCTCTGATACATCCAGACCCTAAACCTCACAGTTGTGAATGGTGTGAACATCTCATCTGGGGGCATTGGGGTGAATGTGGGGGAAAGATCTTTGACTTAGTCCTCTCAAAGTCCCCTTTTAATGTGTGCTCCCAGTGGAGGCTTGCTCCAAACCCGTGTGCTGCAGGTACCCCTTCATCCCCATAACTGTCATTTCTGGTACATCTCCAGCCACATCTGCAGCCCAGCACATCTCCCTTTGCACCTATTGTAACACTTGGAGAAAGATTCTGGACTGATGGCCCCGGACACTGAGGTTTGTTGTCAACTGATGGGACAGGTCCAGGGGAACCCTCCTCATTCTCCATCCTCGGTCTTGGGGAAGTGGGTGGCAGCAGCTTAGCTCTGGGGGTGTTTTGAGGCTGGCGCACTTGTTTTTACTGACTGAGGACTTCTCCCATCCCTATTATTGCTATTCACTAGCTGGGATTAGAAGAGATGGACCAAAGGTTGGCGACACCAGAAGTGTGTCTCAGGCTGCCCCAAAGTTGTCACGGTGGTTCATAATTGCTGCTCTCCTCCAAAGAGACCCAAGTCAGGAGGGGTTGGCCCAAATCACCTAATGGCCCATGTGATTTCTACTACTGCAGGTAGTTGCTTTTGCCTCGCTTTTCTTCATCCTGGTCTCCATCACAACCTTCTGCCTGGAGACGCATGAGGCCTTCAACATCGACGTCAACGTGACTGAGACCCTCGTGGTTGGTAACACCACGACCATCCTGCTGACGCATAAAGTGGAGACGGAGCCCATCCTCACCTACATCGAAGGGGTCTGTGTCCTGTGGTTCACCCTCGAGTTCCTGGTTCGCATCATCTGCTGTCCAGATAAGCTTCTCTTCGTTAAAAACCTGCTCAACATCATTGACTTTGTGGCCATCTTGCCCTTCTACCTGGAGGTTGGTCTCAGTGGCCTGTCCTCCAAAGCTGCCCGGGACGTACTGGGCTTCCTACGGGTGGTCCGTTTCGTCCGGATCCTCCGGATCTTCAAGCTGACACGACACTTTGTGGGTCTCCGGGTGCTGGGTCATACGCTTCGGGCCAGCACCAATGAATTCCTGCTCCTCATCATCTTCCTTGCCTTGGGGGTCTTGATTTTTGCCACAATGATCTACTACGCTGAGCGGATTGGAGCCAAGACGTCTGACCCCCGTGGGAGCGACCACACTCACTTTAAGAACATCCCCATTGGGTTCTGGTGGGCTGTGGTGACCATGACTACCCTGGGCTACGGCGACATGTACCCCAAGACCTGGTCGGGCATGGTGGTGGGGGCTCTCTGCGCGTTGGCCGGGGTGCTCACCATCGCCATGCCCGTGCCTGTCATTGTCAATAACTTTGGGATGTACTATTCATTGGCCATGGCCAAGCAGAAGCTGCCAAAGAAGAAGAAAAAGCATATACCCCGTCCAGCCCCACTGGACTCCCCAACCTACTGCAAGTCTGAGGAGAACTCCCCCCGGAACAGCACCCAGAGCGACACTTGCCCCTTGGCAGTAGAGGAGGGGGCAACTGAGAGGAAACGGTCAGGTGAGACCCCCAAAGTGGGGCAGAGGGAGGGGGAGACCTCCAGGAGGAGCCCCCAAGGCACTGTCTTTGGTTCCCTGTATCCCAGAGTCCCTGGAAGCTGCCCTGCTGCTGGATACAGCCCCTAGGTCTTGGGTTGGTGAGATCTTGGTGCAGAAAGGGCTGGAGCCTTTGGGTGTCCGGGTATTGGGTGCTGTGTTGGTGGACCAGGATGCTGCAGATTAAGATCACCATCCAGGCAGGGGGGTAAAGGCCAAATCCTGCTTTCCTGATGGCATAGATGAAGTCACCATGGTGTGATTCAAGGTGTCCCTACCCAGCCCATCTCTTCATCACACTGACAGAAGCCATTCGCCCGATTCCCATCTTAGCCTGGTAATGCCCTTGGGGTAGAATTTGTTTTGCTTCCTCCCGCCATAAATCAGGACAAGCTTCACCAAAATGGATAAATCCATGGATATTCCCTGGGACTTGACCCCACCTCCCCATTCATCTTCTAGTAGATGAAGCATCCCTTCCCTGAGGTCAGCCCTGAGCAGCTGCACATCTGGCCGCATGTGTTTAACAGTGATGGTCCTTCACGTGTGAGGACACAAGGAGCTCCAAATGCCCTATAGCAGTTTTCCTTTATAAAGCTCCCTTTTCCACATGCCTACACATCCCATGCCCCAGGAGCCCTGGCAGTGTCCTGCTCTGGAGGAGCAGGTCAACCCCATCCCTTCACCCCACCAGGAGCTCAGGCCAGACCCTCATCTGGCATCACATCCTCTCAGCTAACGAACCACAGAGTCAGATGCTGTCAATTAACACTTCACCACTAACCTGAGCAGCCCTTATTTCAGCTGTGGGAGTTTTGGAGAGCTAATTCCCACCAAAGAGGTCAGTGGATCTCAAAGACTATGGGTGTTTCTTCTCTGCTTGGCTTTGCAGGGTATATAACCCTCAGCAGGAGTAAAAGCTGCTCTTTGTTGCTTGTGTTAGGATCTAGTGTGGTCCTGCTCCCCTGGTCGCTCTAAGTTAGCATGTCCAGGCTGGGATGGGGACCTGAATTTGGGGGTGTTGCTTTGGGCCACCTGCAAAGTGGTCTTCTGCTTCCTCGCGTGGTCTAAGCAAACCCTTCCATCCACCCCAAGCACCTCATCCTGTGGGTTTGTCGACTGCTGATGGGTCTCTGCCACCTTCTTGCAGACTCTAAGCAGAATGGGGAGGCCAACGTGGTGCTGTCGGATGAGGAGCAGCCGCTGTCGCCCACCGATGAGGAGAAGCGGCCCATGCGGCGCTCCAGCACCCGGGATAAGAACAAGAAATCCTCCACGTGCTTCCTGCTGGCCACAGGTGACTTCTCCTGTGCGGCGGATGGAGGCATCCAGAAAGGTATGGCTGATGTGGGAGGAGTGAGGTGGAGGTTTGTTGCCTTGACCCAAGACAGTGGTTCATGTCCATCTGCCTGCCTGGCTGTTGTTCTCTGCTCCCCAAATCCACTTATCCTCCTGCCTCTCCATCTGCTTCATCTCCGTCCACCATGTCTCTCTGTGCTAGCTCTATACTTTTGATTTCTGCTCTCCCAAGTTCTCCTCCCCTCTTGACACCATTTGGGGTCTGTGACCCCTATCCTGGCTGCAGTGTCCTCCTTGGGGACAGCTCTGTCCCTTTGCTCTCCAGTGCTCCAGCTTCTCCTGTCCTTCCAGCTCTTCTCCCTGGGCTTCAATCACCCGTCTCAGGGTGGTGTGAGGGGGACATCTCCCCTGGGGTTGTGGTGAGGTTGTGACTGAAGGTGGTCAAAAGGTTTTCAGCAGGGAAAAGAATTCACAGGCTTTTCCCTTCTTTTTCCCCTCTGATGTCTTCTGGTGGGTTCGAGTGTAGGGAGCTGCGATGTGTCAGTGCTGCCTTGCCAAAAGCACCGGGCTGCCAGCAGGGCTGTCTCCTCTGGGTTTGGAAAGTGAGAGTTGAGTGTTGAGGTTTTCAATGGGAAGCTGTGGGGGAGATGAGTCAGGAAAACACAAAACTCTCCTTCCCGTGACAAAGCAACACTCCTCTTCACCCTGATGCCTTCACACCGTCCTCCAGCTTTATCTGCGCCACCAGTGGGTGTGCCCTGGGCCTGCACCCCAGCCCCTGGGAGGGTAAATCCAGTTCACCCACAAGATCCAACTGCACCCTCGATTGCTGGGATAATTCTGAAGACAGGGCTCACTTCTTCAGTTCTGTAGTTTTTCTTGTGTGTCCAGGGTGGGATAAAGACCTATCTCTACCTGCTTGGTACAAACATCCCAGGATCTCACAGGGAATGGGGAGCATGGGAGCTGGGACCAGGGAGGAGAAAAGATGATGTGCAGCATCTCTGTTGGCTCGTGGTGCTGGTGTTTTGGAGGCCCTCAAGGGTTTGTTGCTGTGGCCCTGCTAAAGGCGAGATGAGTTTGGGGGCAACCACAGTTATTACATTAGTAGAAGCAAATTGGCTGCTTCCTCCTGGGAAATCAAAGATTCCCTTTTGCATTCCTGATCAACCTCCTCCTTAGGAAGAGGGAATAAATGCAAAGCTTTGCTCATCTTTGGGCAGAAGAGTGTTAGACAAATATTGGCTTGAAATGCCTTGTGTTTTTCCTGTATGTGTCTTTTCCTGTGCAGTTCATCTCTTTTCTTAATGCCTGCTAATGCGAAGGGGTGAGGGGGCTCTGGTCCTGCTCCAATCTTGGGGGGATACTGAACTGGAAGGGATGAAGGAGGAGGATGAAAGCTTAGTGCTGATCTTCATCCTTACAAAATGCTCGAGTCAGGCATCCCTTCAACTGAAGCATTTGAGCTTGGTCCTACTGAAGTCAGGATACTTAGAGTAGATCTAAGAGCTGAGGATCCAGTGCTGCTTCTGCTGGGCTCCCAAATCACATTCCTTGGTTGCAGGAGACCAGGAGGTGGTTCTCCTTGTATGGTGACAGCAACAGCTATTCAAAAGGGCACTTTGGTGATCTTTCTTTATTTGTTCTGATGTCTTTCCTGGAAGTGTCATCATTAAAACCAGATGTTGACATGGGTCACTTACCCCCACCTTGCTGAAATGGTCTTTCACCTGGAGAAAGGTGGATCTGGTGTCCAGAGTGGCTTGAGTGATGCATGAGACCTTTTGGGAAGAGGGAACCTCAGTATCTGGGACCAGGGAGGAGAAGAGATGATGTGCTGTGCCTGAGCTGCACACCAAGGTCTGTTGGCTTGTGTGTTGGTGCTTTGGAGGCCCTCAAAGGTTTGTTGCTTGGGATGCTTGGGCTGTTGGGGATGGACTGGTGCGATGCTTCCATGGGAGCTCAGGGCTGATGTATTTCCTGGTGAGATGCTCCAGCGTGGTCAGGGTTAGTGGTGACCAGAGGTGATGAGAGGGGAAAAGCAGCCTCCTGTGCCCAGCTACCAGGAGCTGCGGGAGTGCCTCTTCCCTCATCCTGATTTATCTCCTGCTGAGGCTGTTTGTTCTGGTACTGGGATGTTGGCAGCTCTGCAAATTGAGATGAGCTTGGTTCTGAGCCCAACTTGCTGATGGCCATCTGTCAGAGCTTGGGACAGGTACTGATGTCTGTACAAGCTGTGGAAATCAGGAGCTGGAGCTAGTTCAGGAGTATGCTGCAGATCTCAGCATCCATCATGGTTCAAACCCAATTCCAGCGGTTGGTCTCATTAGAGGAGCTCAAAGAAAAGAGCTACTCCTGCCCACCAGCCCCTGGACATGGTCCCTGGAGAAGATAGAGCTGGCTTGCAGTGGATTGCCACGTGGCATGTGTTTCTTGTCCCTATTGCTGCTTCCTTGCTCCCTTGCTGCTGGGGACCTATCCAGACCCTTTATCTCCCTTCAACACTCATGGCCCGCTCAGCAGTTCCCCAAAACGTGCCTTGCTTGGGCCCAGACACATTGGGATGGGTCTGTCTTGGCACATGAGCTCCTGTCCTCTGCTTGGGTGGAGGGTTATGGAGGCAGGATGAATCCAGCATCCCCCATGCCTCTGAGATTGGTTATGATGGTCTAGGGAAAAGGTAGTGATTAAAACCAGAGCGGACAAAGAGGAATGCCTTTAACCTGCCAGAGGGGAGATTGAGATGAGCTCTGGGGCAGAAGCTCTTCCCTGTGAGGGTGCTGAGGCGCTGGCACAGGGTGCCCAGAGAAGCTGTGGCTGCCCCATCCCTGGCAGTGTTCAAGGCCAGGTTGGACACAGGGGCTCGGAGCAACCTGCTCTAGTGGAAGGTGTCCCTGCCCGTGGCAGGGGCTGGGGCTGGAGGAGCTTTAAGGTCCCTTCCAACATAAAACAGTTTGGGATTGTATGATTTCAAGAAGAGCCACAGGCAATGGGGTTACATGGAGGGAAGGGGATTTGCCCTCCTCTGGGCCAGCTCTTGCAGCACCTCCTTTGACTGCACACCAGCATGGCAAAGTGGCAATTTTTGGCTTGGTTGTCAAACCCCAAAGCATCCCACAGCTGATTTCTAGTCTGTTGCTTGCTATTAGTGCAGGGCTGTGACCAGCATGTGGCTTGAGCAGTGTGGGCTCGAGCGCGGGGATGCTCATGTGAGTGATGCTTGGGTTAGAGAGGGGGGAATGAAGCGAGGACAAGCCCACGTTTGCACAGGAACACACGTGTGAGTACATGCACACAGAGCTCAGCACCAGGCCGTTGTTATCAACAAGCACAGGCGTTCCTGGGCAATGCTCCTGCTTGCGTTACCCCGTCCCCATCTGCTGCTGGCTCAAAGCATATGTGAGCACGCACGTGCGAGCGTTTGCTGGTGGGGAGCGCGGCATTGCCCCACTGCTCTTGCTCAGAAGATGCCTCTATATGGCTCCTTGGCAACAAACCCCTATATAAAGCAATCCCAGTGACCTCACTTGGCACCTGTGTGAGTTACTGGGATACCGGCTCCCTTAAGGAACAGCACCGGTGGCAATTAGCACAGCACAACCCTCTAGTGCTTTGCTTGACTCTGTGGTGGCACCTGGCCCTGAGCTTGGTGGCATTGAGGGATGGAGCCCTGAGCTCCTTCCCAGCTGTTCCTATCAGTGTGGTTTAGGAATGAATTGAAGGAGAAGATGAAGTGTTGGGCTTGGGGCGGGTTTGCAGAGGGGCCCTGGGCAACAGAGCATCTTTCTGAACTGCCATCCTCAACTGTGATGCTTGAGACTTAATCAAAGCTGGCAGCAGGACTTTGGCCCTGTTCCTATGCCCATTGCCATCCTGTTCAACACAGTGATCTGAGCAAGAGGGCAAAGAGCATCCCTATAAAGTGCTCAATCACATCAGCAGGCCCTTGCATTGCCAGCAAGCCCTGTAACATCTCTCTGCCAAACTGATGTTGTTTGGGTGCCGGATCCATCCATAACCCCAAGCTTTCAGGGACCAGTTGCATCTTGGCACGATTGCTTCCCATTGCATGGGCTCAGGGTGGCAGGGGAGTGCATGAGCTCTTCGAGAAGCCTCCGTGCTCCTGGGAAAAGAGCAAGGTTTGCAGAAGGATGAGTCTGAGAGAGGTTTTTGGGGGTTATTTGAGGAGCAGGAGGTCTTTGCATCAACTGCTGTAGGTGGGAAACATCCCCGGCTCCCACCGGCTCAGTGCTGCGCTCGCTTCCCTCCTCACTTGCTGTGTGGATTTATGCCAAAAAGGAAATAAGGAAATTGCTCTTCTCTTCTTTGAGGCCTGATTCTGCTCTTGTTTCCCATGCGGGAAGTGGAAAAGCTTTGCTGAAGTCAGCAACAGGTTTAGGCAGGTGGCATTCCGTGCCCTGGACCTGGAGGAAGCTGCATCTCCTCGGAGGCTGGGTTATCCCTGCCAGCTGCTGCAGTTGGGAAATGATTCGGGAAAAGGTATTAAAAGGGGATAAACATCAGATTTAAAGAGACAGTGCTCTGGAGCCTTTTGCAGACAATGCTCATGTCTCAGCATTCTCCCTGGGGGTGATGCCGTGAGCATTAATCCCCGGTCCAAGCCTAAAACCATCTTGGCCGGGCCAGCACCCGCTCTTGGTGCCTTTGCATGGAAGCAGAACCCAAGGATGTGCCACGAAGTCCCTGGGGAGATGCGGGGACGGTTTCCAAGCTTGGCGCTGCTGAAGGGGCCATCCATCACCTTGTTTTTCTGCTGTCAGGGAGCCGCCTCCCTCCTTCCCTGCTCCATGTCCACACACACGCTTGCTCCAGAGCTCGCTGGCGCTTGCAGGGAAGGCAACGGCTCGGCTGGATTTGCTCATCCCGGGAGGATGCAGCAGGGTACGGAGTGTTTGGGCTCATCCTGGCTGGGACCATCCTCAGTTTTCCATGTCTTGGCAGCAGAGCTGTCCCTGCAAGCTGCAGTGATCCAGAGAGCAGCTCTTGGGGCTCATATCTGAACAGGGCTGCTGCAGA